AAAAGCTGCACTGCTGGCTCTCAGCCTCGGAAATGGGCTCAGGGCATCCTGTCCCTGGATAACTTGAAGTTTGAGCCTTTTAGGATGGAGATTTGGATTTACTTTGGGGATAGATACCAAAAAACCAAATCCATTGCCACCAAGTCGATTCTGACTCATGGAGGTCTTATGGTTACAGAGTAGAACTGCTCCATAGGGTTTTCTTGGCTGTAGTCTTTACAGAAGTGATAGCCAGATCTTTCTTCCACAGAGCCTTTAACTATGGTTAAAAAACCCCATTGCCATCGAGTCAGCTCTGATTCATAGGTACCCTATAGAAGAGAGTAGAACTGTCCCATAGGGTTCCAAGGAGGAGCTGGTGGATTTGAACTGCCGCCCTTTTGGTTGGCAGCCAAGCTCTTAACCACTGGGCCACCATAGTAAACTGACTTTGCTACCTAGAGAATAGATACACTTTTTGTTTTGAGAGAATCACTAGAGGGACCCTCACAGTTTTGCAAATGTAAAATCCAGCCAAAAATGGAGTCAAATAGCTCCAATGCTAGTGCTTCCATTCAAGATGTTAACTTTTATATGCTTATGTAATATGCTTATTATACCCATTTCTGTTGTATTCATTTATGAGATGGCTGTATATTTTAGCAGAATGAGATCCAGGAAAATTCAATTTCCATTAGAGTTTTCTTCACTTCTATGTTTTCTCCCTGAATCTGGTTTAGACTCCCATAGGCTTGATGTGTGTTGTGTATCCTACGGAGTTTTGTGTATGACATTCTCAGCAGTTGTTATGGGGCTATCATAATGGGTGGGCATGGGATCATGAGATGATAATTTGGATAAAAAGGGAGGAGATTTTGCATCTGAATCCTAGCTGAAGTGACTTAGGAAATATGGGGTACAGAAGAACCTAAACACATCACCTACCCTCTTGTTTAACATTTTTCCAGAGCTTCTTGGAATAGGCAAGTCCTTTCATGAATCATCCCCTGCCTAGGTCTAGAGGCTCTTGTGGACACACACAGCACACACACACACATACACACTCAGGCACTCACATGAACATGCGCACAAACGCACGCACCTACACGTATGCATGAAAACATATGCATGCGAACAGACACACTCAGCCACTCTCAGCGCTTCCTTCAGGCCTGTGTGTGGCCTGTGGAACATTCTCATCCGCCCCTCACCTACTAGCCCACTTCCTCTAAACCCTTTCCTGACCCCCTTGGATGTGGTCCCCTACTCTCCCAACCACCTGGACTCCCCGGTGCTGCCAGATTGCGAAGTTATCCCACTGTGTTCCAACAGCCTTGTTACTAGTCTCTGTCTCTGGACCTCCCTGTTCACTCTCAGATCTAAATAGTATAGAAGACCTGAAGGATGCTTCTCCAGGATATTTACATACAAGTAGCTTTGACTGGCTTCTTGTGGGCTGAAGCCTTTACTGTGGTTGCCAAGGAGAAGGAGGAATTATAATGAGCAAGGCTTGGGATACGGGAGAATATTCCTGGCATCCCCACTGTACCCTCAGGGGTGGCTTCCATGTCTTACTCTTAAGATTCCCAATGCCAGAACATTCTATCTTTGTTTCTACAAGAGTCTTTCAGAATTTAAATCTAAGGCTCGCTAAGTGCTGTTTGGAGTCTTTTCTGGTTGTTCCATAGGAAGCAGTCGATAAACATTAGCTTCTCTTCATACATACATAGTCTCCACCTATACTGTGTGTCCTGGAAAGTGGGGACCATGTCTTTTAAGTTACTTCTGTCCTCTTTCTCTCCCAAGCACCTAATACAAAATTGGCATATATTATATGCTGAAAATGTTTTTACTTATAGAACATGATTCAACTTGGGGCAGGGCCCATGAGTGGGCGGAGGTGTGGGCACGCCTCAGGGTGGCCGGCCCAGCTCACAGAGGAGGGCTTGAAGCCAGTCAAAGATGAGTATCCGTGAAGGAGGGGTAGGCTGGCAGTGGGAAGACGAGGCAGGTGCAGGCCTACGTGGAAACAAGAGCACAGATGCTGTGATGGTTAAGATTGTGTGTCAGCTTGGCTGGGCCATGATTCTCCGTGTTTTAATGTAATCACTCCCATGATTGAATATACTGTGAGTAGCCAATCAGATGAAAAGGAGTCTCCTTGGGGGTGAAAGGGAGCCTCCTTGGGGGTGTGGACCGCATCTGTATATAAGCAGACATTCCGGCTTTTTGCTCTCTCTGGATCCTGCGGCTGCTTCTTGTCGTCTCATCTCCCGTTCTTGGGACTTCATCTGTCCGCTTATATGCTGAACCTGGGATTCATTGACCTGCACAGCCTGTGAGTGGGAGCCCTTCTCTCCGACCTTCCAGTCTTGGACTTGCCAGCTTCTGCAGCTGTGTGACTTGGGAGAGGCCTCTACCCTGATCCACGGACTTGGGACATGCCAGCCTCTACAATTGCACGGGCTGTTTCCTTGATAGAATCTCTCTTTATATATGTATTTATACACTTTACTTGTTTTGCTTCTCTAGAGAATGCAGCCTAAGACAGACCCCAGGGAAGTGCCCAGCAGAAGGCAGGAGGAGTGAGAGAGCAGAGCGAGGAAAACACTAAGATGAGCTCAGGCCCTAGTGGCCAGCTGGGTTGGTCCAATGTTGATCACATGGATCCAGGCTTAATATCTGGGTCCTGCTTCAAATACTTGGATGATGGCCCAACTCACCTTCCCACCTTAATTTTCAGCAAGTCCTCAGCTGTAAGTCCTGGGTCTCAGCCACACCTGATGACTCATCACCCAGGTCTCCTTCCAGCCTTCATGAGCTGTTCTTGCCACTAGAATGCCCGCCCCCACCTTCCCTGCTTGGAAAACTACTACTTTTCCTTTGAGGCCCAGGTTAAATGATCTTTCCTTTGTGAAACCCTCTCCACTGGCTCCCACCTCTGCACTGCCATGATGTCCAGCCACACTGCTACCATAGTGCCCCTCACCCTGGATCATCGACATGCAAAAGAACCAAGTGATCATCCACAAATGTGTTCAAGATTCTGCACTTCATCAGCACCTTCTGGGTACCAGGAGCTACTCTGGTGGATGCACTGGTGACACAAAATTGAACAAAAGATGTGATCAAAAAGCCAGAGTCCTAACATATAAACATACAGTTACGTTGCCATGTGACAGTATCTCTAATCGGGACACAGACAGACCACAGACAGGAAGCTTGGGGAAAGGGCACACATTGACTAAAGCCATAAAGCCAGTCGTGTCCCTCCTCTGCTTAAAAACCCTCCTTAGGATTCCTTTATGTTTCTGTAGGTGGTGCAGATGGTAAAGCACTCAGCTACTAACCGAAAGATTAGTGGTTCAAATCTACCCGGAGGCACCTTGGAAGAAAGCCCTGGCAATCTTCTTCTGAAAGATCACAGCCACTGAAAACCCTATGGAGTGCTGTTTTATTTTGACACGCATTGGGTTGCCATGAGTTGGAATCAACTGGTTTTGTTTTTTGACTACTCTGCAGAATGTTACCATTGAATACCTACTACCCCACCCTCTATCAACTTGCCCCTACATGTTTTCTTGTTTATTTGGTTGGTTAATGTTTCCTTGCTCATTTATCAGCTCCAAAGAAACTTGGTTTTATTCACCATTCTATCCCCAGCTCCTAGAGTAAGGATAGAGTCAAAATTTGTGGAATGGTATTGAATTTAGAAAGGCCAGGTTTTATCTTGAGCACAAACATTTATAGCCTATGTGAACTTTAGCAAGTTATTTCACTTCTCCTAGCTCCAATTTCATTTGTCAAGTGTGGGTAAGAATACTGGCCTTGCAGGGTCATTCTGAGAATAAGACATACTGCTCTTAAAAGTCCTGGCCTTTGGTTGGACTCAGTACATGCTGGGTGGGTGCTGAGTGGCTGTACTAAAGAGGAAGAGGGCCAGCAGCCCAGCCCTGCTCTGAGCCCTGATACCATGGGCTGCTCTAGCATAAGCCCTGACCACAGATTCTCTACAACATGTAGAGGGATTGGCTTTGGGCTCTGAGAATGAGTGTTACTTCCAATAACAAACTCTCAGCTGGGTTCCAGCCCTGTATTTCCAGCTGTAAGAAGTCACTTAAACTCAGAGTTTCCACTGGGACCTCAAACTCAACACATCCAGGACAAACTCATTGCCCTCTCCCTCACTGCTCCTCCTTGCTCCTCACACGTCAAAACCAGCAGACAGCTAATGGTGCTAATCAATCAGTTGAATGACTGATTCATTGTGAAGTAACCAATATAAAAATCATAAGACTTGAACTAGAACTAAAATTGTAGTCAGCCCAAGGTATAGTCTGCAGAGAGAGAAGGAGAGATGGGTTCTCTTGATATTTCTAGAGCCTCTGGAGCAGACAAACTGGAGGAGAACCTGTGGCCAGCCTTCCAAGAAGAACTCACCAAGTTACCCACACCCTTCACTTTAGACACTGCAAGAGGGACTTACTGAGGCCTGTACTAGTTTCCTGTTCCTGTTATTACAAATTACCACAAATTTAGTGACTTGAAACAACACAAATTTATTATCTTGCAGTTCTGGAGGTCAGAAGTCTGAAATGGGTTTCACTGGGCTAAGATCAGAGTGGCATCAGGGCTGTTGTGTTCCTTCTGGAGGCTGTAGAGGAGAATCCTCTCCCTTGCCTTTTCAAACTTCCAAAAACCACTTATATTTGCTGGTTCATGGCCCCTTCCTCTATATTTAAAGCCAGCAGCATCTTCCAGTCTCTCTCTGACCCTCCTGCCTCCCTCTTATAAAGATGTTTGTGATTACATGGCCCACCCAGATAATCCAAGATAATCTCCCCATTGAAAGATCTTTAATCACAACTGCAAAGTCCTTTTTACCATGTAAAGCCACGTATTTATGGGTTCGAGGGGTTGAACATGGACGTCTTTGGGAACCATTATTCCGCCTAACACAGGCTCTGAGCAGGGTGAGCTTGATTCAGAGGCACCAGGCTGGAACTCAGCCTCCTGCCTCCCTACCAACTTTGTTCAAAGTAGAACTCAGTGCAGGCCGAGGGATCACTCTCCTTGGCTAGCCATACTGGCTGCTGGGACTCAGCCACGCCACAGAGAAACCAACCAGGCCAGGCTTCAGCTTCGAGCCTAAAGGCAGAGCCAAGGCTACTCTGGAAGAAGGTGAAGCATGTGGCCTGCTCACCGCCCTTGTACAGGTCCTCGATATTCATGTCTTGTGGGGGTAAGGCAACCAGCAGCAGGATGAGGCTACTGATTGAAGTGTCAGCCCTAGCCACCTCCAGGGCTTGGCCAAGGAGGGATTTGGCAGAGTAGGTCTTATGGAGGAAACTGCCTTCTGCAGCTTCTGAAGGGCAAAGGTCTTGGTATTGGGGACAGAGGCAGATGGTGGAAACCTGAGGTAGGGGACCTGGCTGGGGAATCCACAGATGGGCCTAGAGATGCCAGGACATCTTGAGGGCCAAGCCAAGCATGCAGTGCCTCCCAGAATGGGGAGAGGTCTCTCACCTCCAGCTGCAGGGAAGGCCCCTCTTCTGTCTCCACACATGCCAGGCAGCAACTCCCTCCATGGATCCCCAGGAGGATGGGGATCTTGGGGCGGTCCAGTGCTCTGTTGGAAAGTATGCAGATCTTGTCTGGGAGGGAAGACAGAAAAGAGCCAGGAGATAAGGGGACCCCAGATTTCAGGCTTGAGGTGAGTGAAGGTTTAGGCAAGAAGGAGCTGGACCTGGCACACCTGCCCTGGCCCCTGCATGCAGGCTGCAGGGTGACCTGCAACTCCTGACAGGGTTGAGACTCCTTCAATAGGTGAAGCCCTCAGCTACCTCTTTCTCACCCTCACTGAAGGCAGCAATGACTCTCTGGTGGGGATAGGAGAGGGGAAGGACAAGGGGACTATGGTAGATGGAGGATAGAGTGAGTCCCAGGGGCTTGAGTCCCATATACTCACCTGTACAACAGTTGTCTGCATCCAGGTCTCCCACCAGGAGCTGGCTGTCTCTCATGTAGAGCACCTTCTGATCTGCATCCTTAATTCTGGAACAGGATGGCAGAGCTGATGGCTTGCACCCTTCAGGCAACCCTCAGCCCCACAGCGCTTCCACCTCCATGCTCTGAATTACCAGACTGAGCACTGAGGGATTCTTTGCCCTTTTTCAGTGAGAAATGGGGGCTCTACTCCACCCAATAGCAGGTAAAGACCAAGTGAGTCTTAAGGCAAGGGAAGGCCTTCTGGGCTTGTAATTCTCAGAGGTTGAGCTTCCTGCCTTCACCTAACTTGAACACCGTCAGGGCCCTAAGGGGAGTGAGGGAAGCCAATGTCCACTCACAGGCAGTAAAGAGAGTTTTCCTGCTGGTCTAAGTGGCTTTCCATCCCCTTCCTGAGTAATTTCTCAATAGCATTCAGGTATCTCTGGGAGCCTCATCCCAGAAAATCTGGGCCTTCCTCAATTTTTCATAGCTGTTTATTCTCTTCAGTAGGAACCTCACCTCCAGCTGCAGGGCTGGGACAAACAGTTAAGTGCTCAGCTACTAACCAAAAGGCTGGCAGTTCAAAGCCACCCAGAGGTGCCTCAGAAGACAAGCCTGATGATCTGCTTTCGAAAGGTCACAGCCTTGAAAATCCTATGGAGCAGTTCTACTTTGCACACTTGGGGTTACCAACTTGACTGCAACTGGTTGTTTTTTTTTTTTTTCCCTCAGTAAAGGAATTGTTTTAGTGTATAGTGAAATGTGATTTGCTTTCCAGATATTTTAAAAACTACTTACAGGGAGAATCTACAAATCAGAAAAAAAATTCTATGTTACGTAACATATACCAGCAAGGCTGCTCCAGCCTGGGTAAGGTGTGCTCTGGGGAGGGCCTCGCATTTCTGGTGCCAAATACAGGAGGTCAGCAGAGAGCACAGCCTGATTATAGTCGTTGTGGTTGGCTGTGTTTGTAATGATCAGCCTTGGAGGGCAAAAAATGTGCTGGAGAGGTGGGGGAGAAACCCTGGTGAGCATGTGGAACATCGAAGTCACACAGTGATTAGCTTGGTTGTCAGGCTGGTTTCAAAGATGCCAGTCAGTCACTCTCAGAGCCTGGGGAGCCCTCGTTACCTTCAAGGGCAGAACCTCTGGGTAAATGCCATCACCTCCAGGGCCTCAAGGAGATTTTTCTCTCCCAATAACAGCTAATGATAATACCCTTAGCTACTTATTGTATGTGTGTAAGCAGGTGCACTTTACAATAAAAATATAGATCTTAAAATTCCTGGGCTTACCAGCTGGTATTGTCTCTGAAACCTTGACAACCAGGGAGTGAGCATAGACATGATAACTCACCTACCAGAAACAGGTGATTGGAAAACATCGGCAATATTTTATTTGGAGATTAGACCCAAGTTATGTGCCCCAAAATATTGTCATCTGTGTGTTTTGTGCTCATGTGTCCTGCCTTCCTAGTCAGGCTGGAGACCTTGACTTTCCCCCATGTCTACATCAGGACTGAGCCATGATAGGGGCTGAGGAAATCCATCCCCAGAGTCAATCCTATTTAATGTTTATTATGTCCCAACTCATTCCTCAAAAGTCTTGAGATAGTTTACAACAAAATCACAATGACATTGTAAAATATAAGAATGCAAATCTTGAATAAGGTCAAATGCAGGTAAAAGTTGGAAGCCCAGACTAGAAATAAAGTGCACAGAGACCATCATATAAAGATACCATCATTGAGATTCAATTGTTGCTGGGCGTCTAGAAAGAGGCAGATGGAGCAGCACAGGGATGTGGAATCTGATCCCTGGCTCTGCCTTTTGGTATCAGAGAATTTATTTACCCTCTCTGAGCCTCAGCTTCTAGATATGTTAATAAAGCTCCCCCTGTAGATTTCTTAAGATGGAGGTGGGGCAGGAAGAATGGCTGGCATCTCAGAGGCACTCAGGAAGGAGAGCGATTGTTACCATGAATGATGATTAAATTTAATTATGGGGCACTTGAGATTTCTAAGGTGAGAAGGAGCCTCATCCCTCTGACTCAGACTTCCTTCTCCCAGCGTGACTCCCAGACTTCCTGATTAGGAAGACTTACATGTAGTAGCTTGCCATGGGGAGAGAACATATTTCTGTGATCAGAGTGTTGGGTCCTTGCTGAAGGGGAAAGAGAAAAGACCTATTAGAAAGGAGGAAAGTGGAGTTCTCACCCAGTCACAGGTAGAAAGATCTATGAGGCCACTTGTCTACAACATGCCTGCCAGAATCCACCAAGGTCTCACCTTCCCCAGCAGCCCCAGGCAACTCCAGGCAGCTCTGCCTCTCCCTCATTTGGGGCCATGGAGAACAAGTCGAGCTGGCCTGATGATGGCGTGCATTGATGCCGGGTCTGGGAAACTGGAGAACAGGTTCCTCCAAGTGGCTCATCCAGGAGCACTTCCCAGGGTGGAGAAAGGGGTAGGGTGTGCTCCAGCCTCACAGCTTGAGGTATGAGCCACAGCCCCAAACCCCGTCCCTACTTCCCAACCTTGCCCTAGGGTTACTACGCTCCCACCTACCTCCCCAGCAGACGGTTAGATACTTAGAGCCCAGCTGAAGGATGAGCAGCCTGACTGGGAGGAATCTCCAGCTTCTAGCTGGAGTGGGCAAGGTCTTCCTGGAGAGTTAGAAAGCATCATTCATCAGGAATGGAATCACTTTTCTGAGACTCTTAAATCAAGACTAACCAGATTCCCTCATTCTATTTCAGATGGAAAATGGGACAAGCTTGAGATACAGGGACTTGTGTTCTTGAGAATGAGCAACCTAAACTGAACACAGCATCTCAATGTAAACCCCAGACCACAATGATTTACATGACTCTGCCCCTTCCCATTGTATTATCCTGTCCTAGAGCTTTTCCCTAAAGCCATGACACTTTAGGAAAGTCAATCTAGACTCTAGCATGGAAGAAATCCAGAGCCAATCAGGACACAGAAAAAGAGTTCGAAAATAGCCCAGAAAAGTAAAATGCAAGAATAGTTAACTAAGTAGATCTGATTCTCATGAGCAAGAAAGAAAAAGAGAAGAAAAAACTGTAATACAGAAAAATAAGAGAAGATGGAAAAGAAAGAAGGAAGGTAAGAAGAAGGGAGTAGTGTTCAGAGAGGGATAGAGTGAGATGAGGGATATTTTGGGAGACAAGTAGGGAAGAATAGGTTGATGCTGAGGGCAGGATTTCCAGCCACTTTACAGTCACTGGAGTCTGGCCTGTGTGTTAGAAGAAATATGACTATAGCCAAGGTGGCTTTTAGTACTGGCTCTGTCACCTTGGACAAGTCATTTTCTCTCCCTGGGCCTTAAGGTGGGAGTTTCAATGTTGGTGAAAGTGAAGGATAACAGGGCACTGATTGGAGTGCAAATTGATACATTTCTGGTTGGATGTTGGTGATGTGAATCAAATGTCTTAAAGAAATGTAAATACTTTGACCCTATAATTTCATTTATTGCCCTAATTCTAAGGGAAAATACTGAACTGCCCAAATATTTAGTTAAAAATATGTTCACTGCATCAATTTTTTTTACAACAGTGAAGTGTTGGAAATAATCTAAATGTCCAAAAATAGGAAATTGATTTTAAAATTATGGCAAATTCAGTAAATAAGAAAATAAGTTTAAAATGTGCATTAAAAATGATATTATAGAAGAACATTTTATGACATGGAAATTTTCCAAATATATTAAGTGAAAAAACAGATTATAAATAATATGCACATTATTCCATTTAAATCCACACACATATAGAGACACACATACACAGAATGTGCTTCAGGTTTTGCAAAATATTGTAACAGAAGTTATCGATGGCTGACACAATTACAAGTGATTTTTATCTTATTAACATCTGTTAAAAGTGTTCCTGTAATGAACATGTTATTTCTTTTGTAGTATAAAGAAAGTTTTAATATTTTAAATAAAGTGTTCCGTTAAGTCATTGGCTCCCACACATGCCTGCCCACCTAAATTACCCAGAAAACCTCTGATAAGTACTATTTCCAGGGCGGGGCGGTGGGGAGAGGTTCTGGTTCTGCAGGTCTTGCAGTGATTCCAGTCATCAGCCAGGCTTGAGAACTAGTGTACTAGCTCAATTCTCCTCACTCTACAGTGAACACATGGATCACCTGGGATCTTGTTAAAATACAGATTCTGATTCCCTAGGTCTGGCATAAGGTCCCCGGGCGACATAAATGTTTTGCGCTCATCTACCAACTTAAAGGTTGGCTGTTTGAATCCACCCAGTGGCGCTGTGGAAGAAAAGCCTGGCTATCTGATTCCATAAACATTACAGCCAAGAACAATGGGGTCAGAATTGAGTCCACGGCAATGAGTTTGGGTTTTTTTGGAGGTCTTGGACCGGGCCCTAGACTCCACATTTCAAACACGCAAATGAATGATGCTAATGCTGCTGGTCCCTGGACCACATTTTGATCCGCAAAGACTAGATGATCCCCCCAACTCAGATAGTCTGACAGTAGCATGACCTCAGTGTAAGGCAACTTGATGCTGTGCTTCCTCCCAGCCAAACTTTCGGGGATTCTTCATCAGTTATACCCACAGAAATTTGGGCATCCTAGCAGCTGTGGCAAGGACTGGCCTGGACAGATCAGGTGGAGGGCCCTGTGTTAAGGTGGACAGGCAGGATGATGGCTGCCTCTCTTGATCAGTGTTAGCTCAAAGAGCTAGAAGAAATTCAGTGCTGGGCCAGTATAGTTGATCCCATGTTCTTTTGCACATCACAATTTCACAATGTGAACAGTTTCATGTGGGTTTCACTACATCATCACATCTTTGAAACCCATGTGAAATTGTGCACTACAGATTAGTAAATAAGCACAAGTAAACTCGTGGTTTCCTTGCTTACTGGGTAATCTGCTCCTGCTCTCCAGTCACTCCTTCTTAGCCCCACTTCAGACTCTCCCCGCCTCTGGGATGTCTCTAATGCTGACAGTTACAAGAAGGAGTCCTAAGCACTTACTTCTCTTTCCATATCTCAGGGAATTGCAATTCATCGATTTCCACAGCTTCAGTGATCATCTTTGTCAAATGCCTCCCCAACCTAGAACGAGCATTCTACTTTATCTCCAGCTGTCTAGATGACATTCCCCTTTGAATATCTTGCTGTCACACCCAACCAGATATATCTAAGACCAAGTTAACATCTTCTCCCTCCTCAATCGACTTGTTGTTGTTAGGTGCCAGAGAGTCAGTTCTGACTCATAGTGACTCTTTGTACAACAGAAGCAAACACTGCCTGATCCTGCACCATCCTCACAACTGTTGCTATGTTTGAGCCTATTGCTGCAGCCACTGTGTCAATTCATCTTGCCAATGGTCTTCCTCTTTTTCCATAACCCTCTACCTTACCAAGCATGATGCCTTTCTCCAGAGACTGGCCCCTCCTGGTCACATGTCCAAAGTATGTGAGACAAAGTCTCACCATCCTCACTTCCAAGGAGCACTCTCGCTGTAGTTCTTCCAAGACAGGCTTGTTCATTTTTCAGGAAGTCTATGGTGTATTCAATTTTCTTTTCCCCATGCCATAATTCAAAGGCATCAATTCTTATTTGGTCTTCTTTATTCATTGTCCAGCTTTCACATGCATATAAGACAATAGAAAATGTTATGGCTTAGGTCAGGTGCACCTTAGTCCTCAAAGTGACATCTATGTTTTTCAACACTTTAAAGAAGTCTTTTGCAAGTGTCTGTCAGTGTGTTGTACTGTGGTGGCTTGCGTGTTGCTTTGATGTTGGAAGCTATGCACCTGTATTTCAAATACCAGCAGGGTCATCCATGGTGGACAGATTCCAGACTAAGACTAAGAAGAAGGACCTGGCAGTCTACTTCTGAAAAAAATAGCCAGTGAAAACCTTATGAATAGCAACAGAACATCGTTTGTTATAGTGCCAGAAGATAAGACCCCCAGGTTGGAAGGCACTTAAAATACGACTTGGAAAGCGTTGTCTCCTCAAAGTAGAGTTGACCTTAATGACGTGGATGGAGTAAAGTTTTCGAGACCTTCATTTGCTGATGTGGCACGACTGAAAATGAGAAGAAACAGCTGCAAACATCCATTAATCAACCTACTTAGCTTTCTCAATTTCATTTCTTTCATTGCCATAATGTTCCTCTAGTCAATGAGGTTCAAAACCTGAGAATCATTGACATTTTCTCCCACTTGTCCTCACTCTATATTTGATTTGATTTATCAATAAGTCCTGGTAGATTGTTCCTTTAAAATATAACTCTGATTTCCTTATTACAATTATAACTGTGCCTGTATTCCTGATTTTTCTACCTTTAATCTACCCCAACCTATGTAAAGTACCTGAACTCATATTCTAAGTACTGCTTTTACCACATCACCACCCAGCTTTAGAATCTACAGTGGTTGACCATTTTGCCATCATCTGGCTCTGATTTACTTGTATGATAGTATCTCATGTCTCTGCTGACACTATATCACCACTCCAGGCAGCATGACCTCTTTCTCATCTTCTCACTGGCCGTAGTCAGAGTTGTCTATGATCCCCTGCATCAAGAGCTATCCTTCGTCATTGCCATCCAATCAGATCTTTTGGCATTAAGGTCACTGGACATGGTATCAGTATCTAGTTCTGTCAAATTGATTATCAGCTCAGAGTAAGTTCTCAGAGATACAAGATTCTGTCACCTAATCTTCTATCCTCAGTTTCAATGTCTATAAAATCATGGGATTAGATTAAAGTTCTTTCCAGATCAACACAGGGTTTAATGAAGCTCCCTCTTACTATTGCAGCCCTACTCTGAAATATTAAATTTCACTGTGTTTTTTATTGGTCTACATAAATAACATTTGTTTCCCTTATAGAAGTCAAGAAGATCTTGAAGCCATGAAGCATGGCTGATAGCTCAATTCTGGCTCTCTCCGACCACCATAACTGACACACATTGGTGCTTACAAGCAAGACATAGAAACACACACAGTAGACTTTGAATGGCAAGGTTGGGTACCAATTCTATTTCTGCAGCCAATTTGTCTTGCTACCTTGGAGAGGACCCTTTTCTCCCTGAACCTCCAATTTATTATCATTAGAATGAGAAGTTGGACAAAATCAATAGCTTTCAAAACTTTTTTTAGGTTTCACAACGAAATTTTACACAGAAACTTAATACGTGAAATGGATAAAGGGGACCTGCTTTTGCTGAAGTAGGGAGTGATGGAAACACCAGAACACTGCCCCCTAGCATTTCCCTCTTCCATTGAAGCATTTCTAAGGAAATCCCAAGTTTCACTGTTTGCATACCATTGGCATAGATAATTTCTACAGAGATTACTTTCTAAATCTATGGCCTTAAATATTTAAAAATCTTTATTTGACTTAATCTATGCCTTTTTATTATATCCCTTCTATGTACCCCTAGACTTATTTATCATTCCATAGTGTTCTGTGGAAGGGATACCTTGATATCTAGAATGTTTTCGAGGAGAAGTGAAAGGATGAGTGTTTGTCATATCAGAGATACTGACAAAACAGAGAAGGAAAGAGAGAGAATAGTGCCTGCCCACCACTGACCTGCAGATCCTGGATGCCTGGAACCCTGACGCCTGGAACCTCTGACTGATTTCTCCAGACCATCTGTACCGGGTTTATACTGTCCTCAGGGTGGATAAGACCTGCATCAATCCCTGTAATTGGCTCCAGGATAGAGAAGAAGAGCTTAGGGACTTCATAATGTCTTTGACACAGTATGGATAATAAGGAGGTTGGGACATTAATGAATGTTTGTTGAAGAGGGAGACAGCCACCCATAAAGACTTGACTGAGGCTAGGTGTTGTGCCCCTGTTCTGTAGCTACTGTCAGTGGCAGTTATTGGTGGTTTCAGCAGGCAGATAAACAGTGCTGGGGTCAGACATCTTCATATCATCTTCTCTTTGGTGCTTCATGAGAATCCAGCCTAGGTTTGGAGAAGTGGAAGAGGCAAGGAGGAAAGAGTGTGTTTGAGGGTCCAAGTACAGAACAATCTCTGAACCATGAAGCCTGGCTATTGCCAGTGAGGCAGAGTTAGAGCAGAGGCTGATAGAATTGTGAGTGTGGCCCTGTTTGGAAAGATGAAAAAGGAGTCTCTGCTTTTCAAGAGGTTCCAGCATGATGAGGCAGAACATCTAAGGAAACCCAGCTTCAGAGGACATTAACGTTATAACTATCCTGGGACTGGGAAGGCACTATGTGCCTTGGACTACTAAGCATAAACATTCACAGAAAGCAGTGCAAACATGGCAGGGATAAATAACACTCAGTTCTCTAATTGACATTACTCAACACAGTCCCTCCCTCCCTCTATCCATCCATCCATCCATCCAACCATCCACCCATCCATCCACTCACCCATCCATCCACCGACGAATCTATTCATTTATCCATACATCCATCCATGCATCCATCCATTCATCCATCCCCCCATCCACCCATGCATCCATGCATCCATGCATCCATCTATCCATCCATCCATCCATCCATCCATGAATCTATTCATCTATCCATCCATCCATCCATCCACCCATTCAGAAGGGCATAGTCTAATCTGGGGACCTATGGCCTCATTATATTTCTCCCTCTCAAGTCATTAGTAAAGCCCCACGAAGAGCTTGTGAGGCAGTGTTGGGGGTCAGTCTAAGACCCGGATACCTGCAGGGTGAGAGGCCAGAAAAAATGAGCAGGAATGGGGTATAATTTCCTTAGAAAAGGCCAATGATCATTCTTCACACCCCTTCCCAATTTCTCACCCCTCTATGGGAAGGATCAAAGTGCGGGGTATTATACTAGGCAATCACCTAGTATTTACTGAGCATTTTACACTGCTGTGTTACAAAGACATGCAATCCTTAGTTCCTATTGTTAAGTAGTTTTACAGTCCAACTGGGAATCAAACTCGCAAACACATTAAAAGATAATTAAGAGGACTAGTGTGTTAGTCAGGGTTCTCCAGAGAAACAGAACCAATAAGATATAGATATAGATCTGCATATGCATACACATACATACATACACATATAAACACACATATTTTAAGGAATTGGCTCGAGTGATCATGGGGACGGACAAGGCCAAAATCTGTAGGTCGGGCAACATGGTATAAACTCTCGCAGACTCTTGTACAATATCGGTAGGCCATGCAGTGGGCTGGCAACTCTGGCAGGATGTCTATGTTACAGTCTCAAGGCAGAACTTCTCCATCAGGAAACCTCGGTTTTTGCTCTTAAGGACCTTCAACTGATAGGATGAGGTCCACCCACATTATGTAGGATAATCTGCTCTACTTAAGGCCAACTGACTTAAATGCTAATCACATGTAAATACTTTCATAGCCACATCTAGACTCGTATTTGACAAAACAACTGGGCACTGTAGCCTAGACAAGTTGACACATAAAATTAAGCATCACAGTCCACCCCTTTGTCAACTTGCCCTCCTCCCTTAAACCAAACACATCTCCATATTTAATCTCCAAATAAAGACAATAACAAGCACATATTTCTAGTGTAATAAAACCATCTCGTGTACAACCCTAAAAAGGCACTAACCCTTTTCCCAGAAAAGGATGCAAAGTCCTTGGGTGATGTTTACTCTTTTCCTTGATACCCTGTAACTTAAATACTATCATATAAAGTTAATACGTCTTATGTTGTATGATAAAAAGGGATCAGGGGAGATGAAACAAGATAATTTGCTTAATACACACACAAACATATTCATAACAAAATAAGGAAGAAATACTCTTAAAAATGAGAGTACTTATTTCTGCAACTGGTCACATGGTCATAGCTGCTTTTTATAACTACCTTCTTCCACTACCTATTCCATATTTCCTTTGTCTTTAGCAAGTAGTTCAGCTTATCATGGTTCTCTACCAGGTGGGGTACCCCAAATCTTCATTTCTGAAGGGTCTGGGCCATTAGTAGTCCTGCCTGAATTGCATTATTATAGTTTTCCATTGACTTTAATCACAGGGCATAGTAGTGCTAAGAAACACCCTAAAGGATCTCCTGTATTCCAGACATACTCTTCTTTACCTTTATTGTGTAATAACAATCCAGTTTCCCCTTGGTAATCAGCATCAGTTACACCATTCAGTACAGTAACTCCCTTCTTTGTCTGTTTATTCAGAAGCATGAGAAGCCCTAATACTGAATAGTACTCTTAACTTCCACTGCAAAGGAATCATTGTGGTGTCTCCTGGTGGAAGTATTCTTTACTTTGGAATTAAGACCTCTATTCCAGCAGACCATAAGATCTCAGGGACAGGAAGCAAAAATTTTGCTAGTGGATCACCAGGGGTAATAGTGTGCGGCATTACTCCCATTTCCACCTCTTAATTCCTGGGCCCAAAAATCCTAGCTATGGGATAAACAGCACCATATATTGCATGCTGATTTAGAGCATATACAGCCTCCTGAAGAACAATGCCCCAGCCCTGCAACGTATTGCCACCAGCTGGTACCATAATTAAGTCTTAAAAAAGATCATTCAGTGTTTATCAAGATGGCTGCTACAGAATAAAGGAGAGCATAGTATGGCCAGTGAATTCCATAATTCCATGTGGCCATTACCACATCATTTGCTGTGAAGCGACTTCCTTGATCTGAGGCAATGCTGTATGGAACATTCTTTTAGTTATCTACTGTTGCTATAACAGAAATACCACAAGTGAGTGACTTTAACAAACAGAAACTTATTTTCTCACAGTTTAGGAGGCTACAAGTCCAAATTCAGGGTGTCACCTCTAAGGGAAGGATCTCTCTCTCTCTGTTCTGGAGGAAGGTCCTTGTCTCTTTTCAGCTTCTATTAATAGGTTCGTTGGTGATCATATGGTATATATCTTCCCCTTGTTTGTGCTTGCTTGATTGCTTAGTCTGCTCTTTTAGATCTCAAAAGAGATTGACTTAAAACACACCCTACACTAATACTGCCTAATTAACATAAAAAGAAGCCCATTCCCAAATGGGATTATAACCACAGGTATAGGGGTTAGGATTTACAACGCATGTTTTCAGGGGACACAATTCAATCTATAACATTTCATCCTTTGGTCCCCAAAAATTCATGTCCTTCTCATATGCAAAACATATTCACCCCATCACTTCATTCCAAAAGTCTTAAATCAGCTCCAAGTCCAAAATCTCATCTTCTGAATCATCTAAATCAAATGTAGGTGAGACTTTCGGCATATTCCATCCTGGGGCAAAATTCTTCTTGGCCTATGAACCTGTGAAATCTAGAGTACAAGTTGTCTGCTTCCAAAGTACAATGGTTGAACAAGCACAAGGTAGACATTTCCATTACAATTGGAGGGAAAGAAGAAATAACAGGCACCAAGAAAGCCCAAAACCTAGCAGAATACATTACATTGATTCTCAAGGTTTGAAAATAATCCTCTGTTTCCCAGGACCATCTGTGCAATGGCCCCACCCTCCAGACTCTGGGTGTTGGCTACACTCCCTGGATGCTGGGTGGAGGCCCCTGAGTTCTGAGCTTCAGCACCACCTTCCAGGCCCACTGGGAAGAAAATTTTTCTCCTTTGGCTTTGGGCGGCCCCATTCTTCTAGTCCATCTGAGTGGCAACCCCACTGGCAGGCTCTGTTCTCCTGCACCTTGGGCATGGCAGCCCTGCCCCCCTCAGTTTTGGGTGGTGGCTCTTCCTCTTGGCCTACCTGAATGGCAACCCCACTCTCTGGAACTGAGGTGGTGGAGACATAACTCTTTAAAACCTAGGAAGCTCTGTCTAAAATAGAGATTCAGTGTTGGAAGTGGAGCAGCCATCTTGCCAAGAATGACTAAATAGAGAAGGGGAAAGAGCTCACAGATCTGCTTGTGTTGTGGCACTGCTGTGGCAGTCCTGGATTGCTTAACTCTGGAAAACAAACAAATCCTCTACTTTGCTTAAAACTTAGGAAGCTGTAGCTATAGTTGTTGAAACCCAGGAGACCATGGCTCCACCCTTTGAAACCTCGGAGACTATGGTTCCACCCTTTGAAACTGAGGCAGCCCTGCTTCCCGTGCTCCTTCCAACAGTTCTGCCGATCTCCAAACTGCTCCAGGGATGGTCTTTTTCTTTTCTTGGAGGCCAACAGATGTTTGGAACCAAGTAATTCAATTGGCCATTCCCTACCTATAGAATTCCAGGTGGCAGGTAGCTTTCTTTTATTTCCTACTGTCTTTCCCCTTTCAGTCTAAGCTGACAGGATTTTTGCTTTGGTTAAATGGGTCCGTCAGTAACAGGCTTAACCTGTTTAACAAAAGACTGAGTTATCATGTCCTTGGTGAGAGTTTTAGGGCATATGTCCTTCCTTAGTTTGTACAATAGAATTTTCCAAATCTTTTAGTTCTGGTTTCATTTTGCACAGTTCATTTTTAAGTTCGTCTCTTTCCTTCCACATTCTACTGTAAGTTGCAAGGAGAAACTACTTTGCACCTTTAAGGTCTTGCTGAGAAATCTCCTCAGCCAAATACTGAAGTTCATCAATTACAAGTTCTACCCTCTGCCAAATATTTGAACAATAATTTAGACAAGTTCTTTGTCACTGCATAAAAAGCAGTGCCCTTTCTCCATCATCCAATCACATGTTCATTTCCTTTT